TGTCGCTACGCGTTTTTTCTTGGCGAAACAACGACCGTCGCCGGTCACCACCACGCCACACACTAGTCCTGCTGTCCTGCAGTCGCGTAACTGCGAGCCAGTCCATAACTGTTGCTGCCGCTACGACTTTTGTGGTACTGTCCCCAGCAATGCTCGATTCGAATGGTTCGTGCGGACGGTACACAACCGCTCGGGCTTGTCGTTTCCGCTCCAGCCTTCGTCATGGCTAGATTGTGCGTTCCAGTAGTACATGCATTCTCATTGGACGCCATGTTTGGTTTGATCACAGAGGTAGCAGCAGTACACACGGAAGGGCTTACCAGATTTGATTATAGCAAGGATTCAGAGAGAACCACGGTTGGCGATGGCTGAGCATGCCGGTGCTACATCTACATGCTAGTCTCAAGCCATCAACGGAACCTGCTATATTTCGGCGCGTAGATCGACCGCGGAGAGGCGGACATGATTTGCCAAATTTCCCCGTCGCCGGTCTCAATCATCTCATTCCTGTGCCGAAATGACAGCCTCGGGCGGAGCAATGATATAATTAACACATTTTTTCGTTCTCTTTCTTTCCATTTCCCCCTTGCCGACTTCGCAGCCGCTCTGTTTCAGAGCAGGCCGAAGAATAAACAGACTCCAAAGCAGGAACGCAAACAGAACGAAGCAGAAAAGAAAGCGACTACAGCTCAGCGCTACACTTCACAAGATCTAGCGGCGGTGCGACTTCTTTGCACTTGCATCGGCGGACGGCCGATGGTTTTACTACTGGCGTTTTAATTTTTATTACTGGCGGGTCATGACGCCGACCCGCTCCGCGGCGGCGCGCATCACGCCCTCGACGAGCTGCGGGATGCACGCCTCGCCCACGGCGCCGGCGCCGCACCCGGCGGGGAGCCCCACGCCGGACATGTACTTGCACACCTCCGCGCGGATCATCTCCTGCATGGCCGCCACCAGATCGCCGCTGAACGGGTACGAGGACGACGGCTGGGGCGCCGGCGCCGGTGGAGGAGAAGGCGAGCGTGGCGATGGCGAGAGCTCCTGGAAGTGGCTCCGGGCGCTGTCGTGGTGGAACCCGTGCTCTAGTCCGGGGAGCGAGAGCGAGAGAGAGGTGATCGGATCCTCGTCCTGGCGCGGTGGAGGCGGCCTCACGTCCGCGCTGATGGCGTCGAACCCGCCGGGGCGCGGGACGGGGCGGAACACCTGCCCGCTCCCGTGGCTGAGCTCGCTGCGGTCTGATCCGGTGGGGCTCTCCGGCCCCGGGCTCGCGCGCTTGCACGGCCGCGGGGAGTCGCCGGAGTCGCTGGCCTCCTCCCACGCCGCGCCGCCGCCGGTGGCGGTGGCGAGCTTGCGCTTGAGCGAGGAGTTCCAGTGGTTCTTCACAGCGTTGTCGGTGCGGCCGGGCAGGAGCCGCGCGATGGCAGCCCAGCGGTTGCCGAGCCGCGCGTGCGCACGCAGGATGGCGGCGTCCTCCTCCGCCGTGAAGGGGCGGCGCTCCACCTGCGGCGAGAGCTGGTTGCACCACCGCAGGCGGCACGACTTGCCCGACCGCCCGGGGATCCCCCTCCCGATCGCGGTCCAGTTCCGCGCCCCGTGCCGCTCCACCAGCCGCCGCAGCGCCTCGTCCTCCTCGGGGCTCCACGGACCCTTTATCCTGTCGCACTTCGCCTCCGCCCCCATCGCCGGCGAAACACACACACTACAACCAAAAACCTTCTCCTCTCCTCCCCTCCCCTTGGCCTCACGAGCAGACACTCCGGTGGTAGTGGCGGTGCGCGTGCTTCCCCGATTGATTAGTGATTAGGACGTCTGGACTCCGATGGTGATTGGAAGGGGAAGAGGAGGCGGGGGCTTATATAGGCCGGGGCAGGAGCGGCCGGTAGCTGGTCGCCGGGGTACAGCTAGCGAGGGGCCACCTCACGCTCGGAGGCGGTGTCGTTTGCTATAACAGAATGGCAGGTGGGGCCGCGGTTGCACGGCCCCACCTGGCGGGGAGAGCGGGCGGGTGGACGGGCGCGTGATGGAGGCCGTTGTTTGGTTGTTAATCCGCTCGCGGTCCCCCGGAGCCGCATGGTTTGAATTTTGAATTGGAGGGCTGGCTTCCGTACCGTCAAACCCCATGCCACGAAGGCCGTTAAAAACTGGCGAATATAGCTGGACTGCTCGCGGAACGGGGCTCACATATCCGAACCGGCCGTTCCATGTTCATGTACGACCACGCCGAACCAGCTCCGACCCAGTACAAGCCCTCACTGGGCAAGTGGGCAACCATGCCTCAGGTCAGGTCGTATACTCCACATGAACCTCTGTGTTTTTTTTCCTCTGTATATAAAGGAATAAGAAGTTTTTTTGCATCCGGCAGCTACAATGCGCATCGTGCAACACGTTAGTACTCTCGCGGGGTAAAGGTTGGCGAAAAAGCGAAATGCTGAGGCTTTGGCGCTTATGAGCAGGAGATAGAAAGATGATAGGTTCATGAATCGGTGATCCATCCAGCTGTGCGTCCATCCCCCTTTGGAGTCGGGAGTTGGAGCGGGGATGGCGATGCCGACGCGGGCGCGAACGCGAACGCACGCAGCGGTGCGGCACGGCCCAGCCAGCACAGTGGCGTGTACCCTGGCCGGAGCCCATCCCGAGCTGAATCGCAACCGTCCAGCCCGTCGCGGGGCCCGCCCGTACATGCGTACAAGCCGGACTGTACGACCGCTGCGCGCGACGGTTCGTGCCTCCTCCCGATCCACCCATCCTCCACCGCGCCGACGCGGTGGCCTCCGTCGCTGACGCGCGGGCCAGCGCTCGGGGCGGGACCACGTGGAAGCGCTGGGTTGTGGTTACGAGGGGAAAACGACAGGGGGGTCGGAGGAGGCGATAGGGTGGGGCGTAGGGGGTGGGATGGCGCGGCGGTTTGCGGGGGGTGGCCAGGCCAGGCTGGAGCGCAATCTCTCGGGGCGGGGCAATGAAAACCGGCGCGATTTCGTGGGGGGAGGCACGGCAGTTATGGGCACAGCTCAGCGCCGCGGCCCAGGTGTCTCCGTGTACGTGCGCTGAGTCATCACTCCCTCGCCTCACGCACGCCGCTGCTCCACTGCCGCTGCCTAGCAGCTATCCCTGACGCCTGCCTTCATGGGTCGTACCCTGTACGGCCTCCGCTGGCCTCGCTGGCAGCCACCGATGAATATCAGGAATATCTGCACTCTTGTTAGGGCCTCCTTTGTTTCATAGGAATTCTAAAAGATAGGATTTTTATAAAAAAAATTCCTTTAGAGCCCTTTGGTTCATAGGAATTGATTCATATTCTTACATAGGATTGGTTCCTATCCTTCACATTTCATAGGAAAATAAAAAAGAGCCTAGACTCAATGAAAAAATTCCTTTAATGTCAATCAAATGACATCTTGTTTTCTATTCCTACTTATAGAATTGGAGATATATGTCATCTCATTTCCTATAAAATTCTTATTTCTATGATAATTCTATCCTATGAACCAAAAAAGGCCTAAATCACGAGGGAGCTGTGATTTATTATTGCAGTTACATCGCCTATTTGCTCTCCTCGTGATGTAATCATAGCTGCACGGAGTTAAGGCGTATAGTAATCTGGAAAATGGTTTACTGCTGCTCTCCAGGTTTGGCAACCATTTTGAGTCGGGGACAAGAGCTGGTGTGAAAAACTACAAAATTGGCTTTGGCCAAAATTCAGCACAAAATAAACCATTTTCCAAAAAAAATCATAAAATGACCCTACCCGCATGATGCCCGCGTCCGGTGCGCCATGCTAGATTACGTAACGCCCGGTCAAAGGCGTCATATTCGTTAGGGCTGCCTGCCACGTTGGCCTGGCCTTGGGTGCATGACGCCGCGGCCCCGGGAGCCATGGTTTGTACCACGACGCCCCGGCCTAGGGCGCCATACCCCTTCACTTATCGTCGCATGTACCTTCTCCTATCTGCTTCGTTCTTTCCTCCTCTCTGTTTCTTTCCCCCACCATGGCGCCCCTTAATTCACCCCTCCCTCTCCCCCTCGAGTGCCGCGGATCTTAGCCGAAGATTGGTGGATCTGGTTATCCTTCGAATCCCGAAGCATTTAACAATTATCTCGTGCGGTTTCCTTCCGTTGAACGTACTCAACTTAACGCACCTGCTTTTCAACCAGGGGAAATATTACATTAACCCAAAAATCCAGATTTTAAACGGATGGCCAATATGCAGTACAACAGTTTGATTAGAGATGGTAGACGGTATGAATCGGCGCCACCTATCCGCTTTGTGGTAAGTTATTGTTATATCTACGTGCTTGCCTACATTGTGCCAAAATGATTTGTCCTATCGTGTGCAACAGCAAAACGAGCTCTCGAAGCATGTCAACGACACCGGCGAGGCACTCAAGTACCCTTCAGGTGAAGAGTCGTACAACAAGCTTAAAGCTTTTGTTGAGGTATGACGTTTGATAATTTGCTTTCCATACACATTTATGAGGTATATCTCCTAACTTCATGATATGTCAATTTCATAGAGGAGGATGTCTTGGGCACGTGCCTGGATGCTCTACTAGGCTGCCGCTCCACCGATGTCGCCGTCCCTACTACGTTGAGGACGAGATCATCATCAAGCAGCACACAACACCCAGACGACGACTCGGTTGATGGCGATGGGGGGGATGAACAAGCATGTGATGAGATTAACACCTCGTAGATGCCCGATGCTGAAGAAAATATGCCCTAGAGGCAATAATAAAGTTATTGTTTATTTCCTTATTTCATGATAAATGTTTATTATTCATGCTAGAATTGTATTAACCGGAAACATAATACATGTGTGAATACATAGAAAAACACAGTGTCACTGGTATGCTCTACTTGACTAGCTCATTGATCAAAGATGGTTAAGTTTCCTAACCATAGACATGAGTTGTTATTTGATCAATGGGACCACATCATTAGGAGAATGATGTGATTGACTTGACCCATTCCGTTAGCTTATCACTTGATCGTTTGTTTACTACTATTGCTTTCTTAATGACTTATACATGTTCTTATGACTATGAGATTATGCAACTCTCGAATACCAGAGGAACACTTTGTGTGCTACCAAACGTCACAACATAACTGGGTGATTATAAAGGTGCTCTACAGGTGTCTCCAATGGTACTTGTTGAATTGACATAGATCAAGATTAGGATTTGTCACTCTGATTGTCGGAGAGGTATCTCTGGGCCGTCTCGGTAATACACATCACTATAAGCTTTGCAAGCATGATAACTAATGAGTTAGTTATGAGGTGATGTATTATGGAACGAGTAAAGAGACTTGCCGATAACGAGATTGAACTAGGTATTGAGATACCGACGATCGAATCTCGGACAAGTAACATACCGATGACAAAGAGAACAACGTATAATGTTGTGCGGGTTGACCGATAAAGATCTTCATAGAATATGTAGGAACCAATATGAGCATCCAGATTCCGCTATTGGTTATTGACCGGAGACGTGTCTCGGTCATGTCTACATAGTTCTCGAACCCATAGGGTCCGCACGCTTAAAGTTCTATGACGATCGGTTTTATGAGTTTATATGTTTTGATGTACCGAAGGTAGTTCTGAGTCCCGGATGTGATCACGGACATGACAAGGAGTCTCGAAATGGTCAAGACATAAAGATTGATATATTGAAAGCCTACATTTGGACATCGAAATAGTTCCGGGTAAAATCGGGATTTTACCGGAGTACCGGAGGGGTTACCAGAACCCCCCTGGGACTAATGGGCCTTGTTAGGCCATAAGGGAAAGAGAGAGGGGCCGGCCTAGGGCAGGTAGCGCGCCCCTTCCCCCTGTCCAAATTGGACTAGGAGAAGTGGGGGCGGCGCCCCCCTTTCCTTCTCTTTCTCTCCCTGCCTTTCCCCCTCCTAGTAGGAGTAGGAAAGGACTAGGAGGAGGATTCCTCCTCCTAGGCGCGCCAACAAGGGCCGGCCATCCTCCCCCTTGCTCCTTTATATGCAGGGGCAGGGGACACCTCTAGACACACAAGTTGATCACAAAGATCTCTCCCAGCCGTGTGCGGTGCCCCCTCCACCATAATCCACCTCGGTCATACTGTAGTGGTGTTTAGGCGAAGCCCTGCTGCAAAACTTCATCAACATTGTTACCACGCCGTCGTGCTGACAAAACTCTTCCCCGAGCTCTACTGGATCGTTAGTTCGTGGGACGTCACCGTCTCACCGAGCTGAACGTGTGCTGAACGCGGAGGTGCCGTATGTTCGGTACTGAGGATCGGTCGATCGTGAAGACGCACGACTACATCAACCGCGTTGTCATAACGCTTCCACTTAACGGTCTATGAGGATACGTGGACAACACTCTCCCCTCTCATTGCTATGCATCACCATGATCATGTGTGTGCGTAGGAATTTTTTTGAAATTGCTACGTTACCTAACAGTGGCATCCAAGCCTGGTTTTATGCGTAGATTTTATATGCACGAGTAGAACACAAGTGATTTGTGGACGACACAAGTCATACTGCTTACCAGCATGTCATACTTTGGTTCGGCGATATTGTTGGATGAAGCGGTCCAGACCGACATTACGCGTACGCTTACGCGAGACTGGTTCTACCGAGGTGCTTTGCACATAGGTGGCTGGCGGGTGTCAGTTTCTCCAACTTTAGTTGAACCGAGTGTGGCTAC